ACTATTCATGAAAGAAATTAAAAAAGTAAGAACGACGAATAGAGTATTAAAAAATTAAATAATGTACATATTCAAATTCCGCGAGCCTAAAATTTTGAACATTATTCACAAAAAGTTAGATTTTATGATGCATAGTAATCTTTGACATCCATATGAAATGTCATACAATTTTGAAATCGTTCACACGGAAAAATAAGATCAATCTTTTAAACGTGCATGTAACGGCTGATAAAATATAAAAAAATATAAAACATCAAATCGAACATTATTCTAACGCGCAAGAAAATAAAACTAATTATTTGCAACTCTTCCTAGTTGTCTGACTATAAGCCTTAATGTTTGAAAATTGTTAAACAAGACAATAAAGATTATTTTATCAAAATTTTAATTCAGTTATGCTTTATAAAATTTGTTGAAAAAGAAAGCCAACCTTCTAAATTTGCCAATTATTTACAATTTGCAAGGGCGGCGTTTGATTATTCAAACAGGATATATATAGCAAGTAGATCTTCAAACTTTACTTCTCAACGATAATTAAAAAAAAAAAAAAAATGTACAGACATGCTTGTCATTAATCACACTAGAAACATAATACAGACATGCCTACTCACACTGTTGCGCTAGAAACATTAGAATACTCACACTGCAGCTCAAATTACGAAATGTCTTGAAAAGATGTTTGGACACTAAGGTCCCTAAGCTGGACAGACTATCATTAGGTCTATCACACTACAACAAAAATGACAATTTGCAACACTGAAAGGACAACATTCATTAATTGAATCTAAAAGGATCTATCGTAACGTTTTAATAAGTGAATGTTGCCATTGATTAACATAATTAAGTTTTGAAAACATTTTTTAAATGAATGTTGCTAATGTCATCTTTTGAAACGCTCCAAAAAGTGTTGCAAAAGGTTATTAACAATATTTAAAAAACGTTGTCGTATCCTTCTACTTTACGACAACATCAAGGTTTGCAACATACGTCGGAACATTGTAAAAGGTTTTTGGCAACGTTTTTCGGACGTTGCTAAAAACTATTTTTGTTGTAGTGTCATGGACATATATATGAAACCGGGATGCTCGTGAGAGATCATATACTTGCATTGATCACTCAGTTTAAAGTGGCCGAGGTTTTGGGGGCTGAAATCAAATTGAAGAAGTTGATATGACTTTGGAGACTTTCGTGAGATCTTCTTGCAGTTCCATTTTATTATAACATGAACAAACCTGATGTCTCTGATCGAGTTGATGAAGGAGCTCCAAATACTAAGTGGTTGATTCTATTGACAATAAAACTATTTGTACCGAATTGTCCTTACCGAAAATGTTATACACTCTTACATGTGCGCGGGGCCCGCGTAAATAAAAAACTCCCAAAAATGTGGTCCCCACACCCTATTGTGAGTGTAGGTAAAAGATTAAGTAAAAAAATTTATGTACATGCAGGGGCGGACGCAGAACTTTTACATTGGGGGGGCACAATCGAACTTGTAAAGAAGTTGGGAGAAATTTTACAACGACAATTTACGCCCAAAAAAATCATACCCTATATAATTTTACATCCGAAAATTTACATGGGATATGACTTTTTCAGATGTAAAATTTCGAAATTTTTTGAAAATTTCCTAATTAAATGATGAAAATTACATTTAACAATTTGTAACTCAAAAATAATAAATGTTAATGAAATAATTAAGTTTTTGTAAATGAGAGTTAGACGTCTTTTTAA